ATTAGAAGCAAATAATGAGCTGGGTACTGGTAGCTCACTCCGGTAGTCCTAGCTACTCAGGAGGTAGCGATCAGGAGGTTTGAGGTTCGAAACCAGCCCCAAGCAAATAGTTCAGGAGACCCTATCTCAAAAACCCATCACAAAAAAGGGCCAGCAGAGTAGCTCAGGCGGGGGTTTTTTTGTTTTGTTTTGTTTTGTTTTATTATTCATACAATGCTTGGGTCATTTCTCCCCCCTGCCCCCACCCCCTCCCTTACCACACACTTCACCCCCTCCCTCTCCCCCCCACCCCCTCAATACCCGGCAGAAACGATTTTGCCCTTATCCCTAATTTTGTTGTAGAGAGAGTATAAGCAATAATAGGAAGGAACAAGGGTTTTTGCTGGTTGAGATAAGGATAGCTATACAGGGAGTTGACTCGCATTGCTTTCCTGAAGCACGGGGTTTATGATGAACAAAAATAAAAACCTAAAGGCTGATATATAGCTAAGTCCTCAGCCTCTGAAGTCAGTGGGCTGATTCAATCCTGGCCCTCCCACCACCAGCAGTGCAAGATTAACCATGTCCCTCAGCCTTCATTTGTCATCTGTAAAATGGAAGAATTAATACCTAACTTATAAAATATTTGAGATTAAATGAAATAATGCTGGGAAATCACGTAATACTGTGGCTGATGCACAAACAATGTTGGTTCTTTCATCTAAAAAGCACCATAAGAAGCTGGATGTGGTAATGTGCACCTGTAGACCCAGCTACTCAGGAGGCTGAGGCAGAAAGAGCACTTGACTTTAGGAGTTCAAGGCCAGACAAGACAACATAGTGAGTACCTGTCTCTAAGAAAATAAATAGGAATAGGTACATCACAAACTAGAAAAAAATATATTTGCAGTATATTTATCTGAAAACAGCCCTGAAGGTTTTCATAAAGTTGTACATACATTAGGGCTGGAATGGAGCTTAATCCTACAATGTGTGCTTAGCATATGCAAGACCCTAGGTCCAATCCTGAGCACCACAAAAAATAATATTCACAATAATACACTAGACATGCATTAACCATGTAACTCAGAAATTATATTCCCTGGTATTTATCCAAGAAAATGAAAACATATATTAAAAGATTTGTACATGAATGTTTATAGCAGCCTTGTTTTTAACACTCCAAAAGTGGAAACCATCCAAATGTCCATCAGCAGGAGAAAAGATAAGCCATCCCTACCATGGACCACTACTTGCCACCTAAACAAGCAACTATTGATACTTACAACGACATGGATGACTCTCCAAACTACTAGTTGAGCAAAAGAAGCTAAACACACACACAGACACACACACACACAAAACCATTGTATAGGAAGTATAAAGACAGACACATTCATTTGGAAAGAAACACAAGAGAACTTTTTAGGGTCATGAAAATGACCTATCATGCTTTGGTTGGTGGTTACATGGATGGACATAATTTTCAAAATTCATAGAACTGACCATTTAAGTTCTAGGCATGCCCTTGCCTGTAATCCTAGTTAGCTACTCATAAGGCAGAGATCAGGAGGATCACAGTTAGAAGCCAGCCCAGGCAAACAGTGCACAAGACCCAACACAAAAAAAGGGCTGGTGGAATGGCTCAGGTGGTAGAGTACCTGCCTAGCAAGCATGAGGTCCTGAGTTCAAGCCCGTGTACTACCAAAAAAAAACAAGAAAATCTATGCAGAGCTGGTAGTACAGCTCAGTGGTAGAGCACCTGCCTTACATGTGCAAAGCCCGGAGTTCAGTCCCCAGCACTACACAAATACACACAAAAAAATATGCATACTATTGTGTTAAGTTTTACATCAACAAAAAAAAAATACTACTTATTTTATTTTATTATTATCACAGTGATTCCTCAAGCCCAGAGGCCTCATGGAGAACTGTGTGTGTGTTCAGGACCCGCCAGCATCTCTCTAACTCCAGTATTGTGTGGTCCCAACAGAGCTGAGCATCTATTGTTCCCTCATCTGGTGACGTTGCACCCTCATGACTCAGATTTTCTCTCAACACTGCTATTTCTATCATTACTTCTCTTGCTTGCTGTTGCAATTTTTCCTCCCTCCTCTGTTGCCCTACTGGACATAGGTTAAATGAGTTAGACACTCTCTGGCAGCATGTTCCTCAGGAGCACCCCAGATGTCTGATCTCTCATATCCAGCCATGTCAGAAGCCTTCCTTCTCCTGACTCTGTCAGGACTTGTTTTCTGGTCCGGCCTATATGGCCAAGGTTGACAGAGGCTCATGACAAACTTCATGGCAACTTGGACGGAAGGCAGGAGGTCAAGGGGCTGTGTGGGTAACTGGGCATTTGCAAGTCCCTGAGTCAGTCAGTGTAGTGACCTGTTGTTCTGCCACAGGAAAGCATGCCCTGCTCCCGAGGCCACATTCATAAGTCCCTGAACTTGCCATTAGGGCACACCTCAGGACAGCAAGAAGATCCAAATACATGTTTTACACCCACAATACTACTCTAAGACTTGGTCACCAGACTGATAAGGCCACACTATTTGTAGACCCATAAGTTAAATATGTGATTAATGTATCTGATACCTCCCCCAAAGACTCACGGGCTCAGTGAGGTGAGAATCTAGGGCACATCTTGATGGGTGAGCTGTAGTCATTATTGGCAAACTGTTTAGTTGGTTCATGTGCTTTTCTTCCAGGAGGAAGAATTTCCTGGATCGAGCCATGAACTTATTTCTGGGACCAACAGCTCTGTTTCTCACTGCCCACTGAGATAATTTATTTGTAAAATCTTAAAGCAATTTCTCACATATTCTACTTTAATTTCCCACTCCAATTCATCAAACACAAAACAAGGTCTCAGTGTACTCTCAGCTGCGGAGACCTTGGGTAGGTTGGAAGAGGGTGGTAATTGTTTTTGGAAAGTCCTGTGAGATTGTAGGATGCTTTTTATTTGTTTTTCCTTTGTTTTCCTTCTACTGACTTTGTGATCTAGTGTACTCCTCAACTTCCTCATTCATGAAATAGGATAATTCTGTTTCATAGAAATGTGATGAGGATCAAATGATTGACAGAAGTGTGAAGAACTTGTAAACTATTTTTTTCTTCTTCTTCTTTTGGCGGCACTGGGGTTTGAACTCAGGGCCTCACACTTGCTAGGCAGGTGATCTACCACTTGAGCAATTCTGCCAGCCCATTTTTTTAAATTTTTATTTTATTCATATTTGCATACAATGTTTGGGTCATTTCTCCCTCCTTTCCCCCACCCCTTCCTTACCCCCCCCCTTACCCCTCGCTACCTGGCAGAAACTATTTTGCACTTATCTCTAATTTTGTTGAAGAGAGAGTATAAGCAATAACAGGAAGGAACAAGGGTTTTTGCTGGTTGAGATAAGGATAGCTATACAGGGCATTGACTCACATTGATTTCCTGTGTGTGTGTGTTACCTTCTAAGTTAATTCTTCTCGAACTAACCTTTTCTCTAGTTCCTGGTTCCCTTCTCCTATTGTCCTCAGTTGCTTTAAAGTATCTGCTTTAGTTTCTGTAAGTTTAGGGCAACAAATGCTGTCTAGTTTTTTGGGTATCTTACCTATCCTTACCCCTCCCTTGTGTGCTCTCGTTTTATTATGTGATCAAAGTCCAATTCTCTTGTTGTGTTTGCCCTTGATCTAATGTCTGCATATGAGGGAGAACATACGATTTTTGGTCTTTTGGGCCAGGCTAACATCACTCAGAATGATGTTCTCCATTTCTATCCATTTACCTGGGAATGATAACATTTCATTCTTTTTCATGGCTGCAGAAAATTCCATTGTGTATAGATACCACATTTTCTTAATCCATTCGTCAGTGCTGGGGCATCTTGGCTGTTTTCATAATTTGCCTATTGTGAATAGTGCTGCAATAAACATGGGTGTGCAGGTGCCTCTGGAGTAACCTGTGTCACAGTCTTTTGGGTATATCCCCAAGAGTGGTATTGCTGGATCAAATGGTAGATCAATGTTTAGATATTTAAGTAGCCTCCAA